AGTGAAGGGCCCTAAACGCTAAACCATTGAAAAGGGAAATAAAAAAACAAAAACAAAAAAAAGCAAAATATGCAGACATCTTACTCAAAAACGGTGGCTTTTTTATTGTTTTAATATTTGTACTTTTTTTTTTTTTTTTTAAAGAAAGAGGGAGAGAGGGAAGACGCCAGTTAGCCTTCAGCACAGTGGACCACCAAACTGGTCAACACCAGGCATGCCCGATATGTGGCCATGTTGGCCAGCCAATGTTAGCTTTGCACTCCCCTGTGGTGAGAGCTAGAAACTTTAAGGATTAGCTTTCACCTAGCCAACTCTTGACTGATGGTAAGTCAAGAAACCAGTGGTGTGTATAGCACAGCCCACACAGGGCTTCTGCCCTGTGTCTCCCCTGCCCTCCCACCACGGGCATCATCTCACACTTGCATGGAGGAGAACTGGCCTCAGAGGAAAGAGAGGATACTGGCTGGCCCCCTGCTTTCTTTTTTGGACACAGAGTTAGAAGTCAGACAGTAGTCTTTCAGTTAGTTTTGTTCAGGCCTGGTAACAGGAAATTGGAGCCTCGCAAACTGAAGCAAAGGAAAAATAAAGACAGCAGAAGGGCAAAAATTTGGAGTGGGTGGGAAAAACAACTTAATAAAGAAGAAAGAAAATAAAAAAATACCCAAAACAACAATAAAAATATTCCGTAGGGGTTGTAAACTTCTATACATTTCAGTGCAGGGGGGTGAAGGACACAGACACAAACACACACGCACACACAAGACTGGGATCCAAATGTGAAATAAGTGAGGCAAGACACAAAAAGAAATCAAAAGAATAAATATAAAGAAGAAATTGAATTACTGAAGACATGCACCTCGATTTTACGGCCCTCTACCACGGTGCCGTGTAATTTCTCCCTGGCCCTGTCTGCATCAGCACTATTCTCGAAAGTTACGAACCCGAATCCCTGCATGCAGCGGGAGAAGGGGGGAAAACATGCACATCGTTATATATTGAAATACTGATCTCTAGGTAAATAGAGAAAAAATATCACAGTATGAAATTGACATCAGCACAACTCAGCAATAACCTCCTAGAGTCACATTGTTGGTTCATGCATGTTTCATAAATGAAAGAAATTAAATTTGATAAAGGAACTGTAATCATAATAAGAATAATAAGAGTAATTAAAAAAGAAAACATAAAAGCAATTGAGGCCAGACCAAAAAAGAAGTACAAAGTTACTCGACACAATTTTTTTGTTCGTTTGTTTAACACTAAACCCTGCTCCAACATAGGCAAGCTGGTCAAGCCCAAGCAGGGCTTCTCTCCCCTCTGCTATTTAACACACATGCTTTGCAGGACCCCCCGCCCACCCCAGACACAGTACAGGACATTGACACTGAGCAGCACTTCGTTCTCTTGAGAAACTGCTATAAGAGTGAGCAGCGATCTGAGTTCACGCCTGGCACCAGGAATTCTGTGAAGCTTTGGGCAAATCAAACACTGAACCTTGCTTTTCTCACCTGTAAAATGGAGACAATAATAATTACCTACCTTAGAAAACTGTTGAGAGGAAGGGCTGTTTGTAAAGCATCCCTTGTGAGCTCTTCAGGGCACAGCTGATGTCTACTCCTATGCCTGTACTGTGTTGGACTTGAGTGTAAATCTAAACACCTAAATACTGATTCATCTCTAAAGGCAGGTTTTGTCTGACGCTACTGACCTACTGCTACCTCCCTCCCACCCTGCTACCTATCTTACTTGGCTTTGTTTGGAGGTGGCAACCTCTGCACTGTGGATAGTAACAAATCTCTGCCTAGTTAGACCATGAAGTTTGAGAAAAATTGACATGCCCTGACTGGAGCAACCAAAGGCTCATGGACTACTAAAATGTGCCTTTAGTTAGACGAATTTAGGTTTACCACATCCATGAAGGCACATGCAACGCGCCTGTCCTACATGCTCATGCTGCTGCCAACTCATGCAAGTCACATCACAGGGCAAGGTAAGAAGAGATCATGCTTCCTTCCACAGAGATGAGTATACCGACATTAAAACAGAGCCAACGTGACTAAGCGAATTAGGATTTAACTAGTAACAAACAGTATCTTACTACAGACAACTGTGATGAGATATTCTTCATGCCATTAGTAGGGCCAAACAAAAAACTTTGTTGCATTACGCTTTTAGGGTATCTTAAGAACAGGAGTAACTGGCTCCTGTGGCTTGGCATAAAGCAAATACCAGCATCATGCACAGAAAGTGATCTCTGCTGGCTCCGATACCCTCAGAGGTGGGAAGAACAAAGCTTGCATCTGATGTAATGGAAACTTCTGGTATTAACTGGAGAGCGAGGTGATGTTAGTGATCAGCTACGCCTTGTCAGGGAAATGGCATGCTAGCCTTGCGGCCCCTGCCATGCAGCTCAGGGTCAATATGTATGGACTGGACATCCCCCCTCCCCCCAAAAGCATCTTGATTTCTAAGCCCTGTTAGCAACAAGACACAAGCAAGGCACCATTCTCTTAAGTGCTTTTTAAAGGTCTTTACAATCTTAATCTTAAAAAGCTCAAGCCATTTGCACATGCTGGCCTTTATCACCCACAGCCAGGTTTCCAGCACAAAACTGTTACACATTTGTAACATGCAGGTTGGTTGGTTGGGTTTGGGGTTTTTTCCCCTTTTTATTCCTGAACAGCAATAATAAAAGAACTTGGCCAAGTACTGCAATGTTGAGATCAACATGAGCATGCCTTGGGGCTCCGACCCAATAATCTAAAGCTTCAGATAATTTCATTTCTCCAGCTATACAAAAGCTATATAAATAACAAACTGATGCCTTTTTCAGAACAGCATAAAAGTTTTCTGTTTAAATGAATTAAAATTGGAGCTACAAGAGATCAGGGCTAAAAAAACAGCCCAACCACGTGTAACTCTCAAATATGTTGCAGGGAACCAGGGGGAGTGTGGGGGGTGTAATAGCAAAGCTGATTATGAAGGGACAGGGTATAGTGTCTGCTTCAAAGAACCCCTATAGAGAAAGGCAAGATTGAGAAAGAGAGCAAACACCTTTCCCTCTGGTTCTATATAATGGGGAAAAAAGCATCTTTAAAAGATTGGGGGGGGTGGGGTGGGGTGGTAAAGACTGCAACAGGAATCTCTATTTCCCTCTTCTGTTTTTACAGAAATTAAAATTTGTTTGTTCTAGACAAGCCTGTGGAGACCGAATAAAATTTAAGTCTTCAGTGGTGATGTGAACTGAAAGTTGGAGAGCAGAGGGAAGGTAATTTTTTAGACATTAATCTGTGCAGGCTAGAACCCAACTAAGACTATTTTAATTCACATTTGTTTGCAATTAGTGAAGCCTGTATGGGATTTTAAAAACCACATTATCGTTAAATATCTTTAAACTGATTAGGAATTTTCACTATTTTTAATAAGTTAAGTCAAGGTAGGGTACAATCCACATGCAGACTATATAAAAATAATTAACAATGTGAATTAAAACAATTAGTCCAATTCTGAGTAATATAATTAACCACAGTTTTTGTTTTATTGACAGATCAGTCCTTAGCTTGTGCAACTCTGTTGAGAACCATTTCAGGTCAATGTTGAATTAACACTTTACATAGTTGGCTACGGCAGAGTCAGTATTTATGCCCCCTTGGTCTGTCGTCTTAATGCGTCTCTTAGACATTCAAATTTTCATCAGGAAAAACAGGTGAGCCATGCTTAACATTTTTGTTATTTCTAACTTTAAAAACTAGCATTTACATATACATTTTTTTTTTTACAGGGGAGAGAAAAAAAACACACACATAATTTTAATTCCTTCTCACAGATCACCTGTAAAGAATAGGGATTAACTTGTACCTAAATACATATACAACAAACAATTCCCAGTTTTCCCTCCCAAGGTTGTCTTGCCCTTGGGAAAAAAAAAAAAAAAAAGGTGGCAGATGTCCAATATTCACTAGCTTAGCTTTATAGCAGGTACTGGGTTGCTCCATACTAGTAGGTATGGAGCCAGAGGAAGGGAAGATGCAATCCTGGGTGAAGAAAAAGACTTAAAGTTTCTAAAATTTAGATTATACAAATAGCTTGGGTTTAATAAGGCTGTTATGATAACAAGGCTGAAATTTTCAACAATTCCTCTCCACCAGCAACTGCCAGGAACTTCTCCCAAGCAGAAAATAAGTTTAAGCCTCAGTGTACCCAGCGAACACTAAATAACCCCAGCAAACATTTTTAGGACTGGTCAGTAATTTGCAGTGCCAGACTAACCCCTTTTTACCCAAAGGCTTATTCAAAGGGCCTGAAGAGACCGAGTAACTGCCACCCTTTTAGTCTGGCCTCAGACTCTGCAATAAATAACAAGCAACATGATGAGCAGTGAAAAAAATAATAAATATATATAGTATTTGAACGTTTCCATCTCTGAAGAATGAGAAAGAAAATTTACCATGTAACCGTAAAGGGAGAAATCAAAAGCAGACGGTTCTCCTGGGTGTGGCCAGAACACAGAAATTAAACAAAAAACAACAACAAAAAAAACCCCACTAAAGTAAAATAAAATAAAATAAAAAAGAAAACCAAAGGAAACTAAACAGAGCCCCTTGAAATCCATGCATTGTTAACCCTTCGTTTGTCACAGAGTTTAGACCAGTCACCTCAGCAGCAGCGTCTTTGCTTGAGTACCAGTGGAGCATGCAGCCAGCAACTGGCCTTGCTGTCATCTGCTGCTGTGCTCATTTTTAACCATGTTTTTTCTCCCACCCCACCCCACCCCTGAAAATTTTAGGAGCCTGAAAAAATGGCCAAGGAAATTGCAGTTTAGGCTACCTTTTCCCAAGGTATTTGGAGGGAGTAGGAGGGTTTCAGCTATAATCCACCTGAGATGAGCAGGACTGAATGCACTGACAGAAACACAGCACGAAATTCAGCAACATGTTCTTGAAGTTACACACACAAACGCATGCTTTAAACTGGTGAGGGAATCTGTAAAGCAAGCTGCCACCATTTCAGCCGGTCTTCCAGCTCCTCCCTGCCCCTGTGACACACTTTGGGTGCATTAAGGCACATACACATACAGCACTTGTCCGTGTACCTGTGCAACCTGGTGAACCAGATCCAGGGATTAATCTGGCTAAAAAAAACCCACATAAACTTCAAAAAAACCCCCTGCAGGGCTATTTTTAAGCAGGATCATTTCCCCAGTCCAGCTTGTTGTGTTGCTCCACTGCCAACACCTCCTGCGAAATCGAGGAGGGGGCAGAGGCTGGGAGCGAACGGCGGGAGCCCGGCCGGCAAAGCTGCTCAGTGAGAGCTTGGGGCTTCAGAGCAGCTCCAGCAAACTCAGGTCAGGGGCTTCATGGCCCCGTGTTGTTCCCGGTTGTGTGCTCCTCCTCCTGCCCTCGATCAACCGTGGATCTTACTGTGTGGTCTGTAAGGTCAGCTAAACTGGCAGAGGACAAGCTCATTTCTCTCTCTCTGCCTTGCTGCATCAGTTTTTCCTGCTAATTTAGCACCCTGGATTCAGCTCACTACACAGTGAAACAAGCACTACTGGGAAGGCGCTCCCACAGGAGCAGTAAATCAGCTTATACTACCAAGCCATCAACTTCAGCCTTAAATAAGCCGGTTCAGTGTAGGGACTAATTTAACTCATTAGTTTAGTATTGCAGAGTTGAAGGTATAAAACTGTACTTCACTGAACTAGGATGAAGGAACACAGGTCATGTCTCCTTCATGCCAATGGCATTTCAAAGGCATTTGGTGACCTGAGAAAGCAACACTGGTCACTGGTACTTAATTTGTTATTAAGCTGCTTTGTCTATTAACACTGTTCGTATTTCTGGCTCAAGTGATGACATCTGAACAAAAATTATAAAAATAGAATTAAAATTAAAACAAGACCTCTAATTTATTTGATGTAACAAGGGGTTGTATCTATTTCACTGAGTGGAAACTAAGCCCAGAACAAGAGTGGCTCAAATCAAAGCACCCAATCCATTCAAAGAAGAAATAAATGCATGTGCAAATGTACAGTCTTTCAGGCACAGTTATCAAAACCTAAATTTATATTCTTATCTTAACCTACAGTTAACTGCAAACATAAAAAAAACCTATGTGTTTCCACACAGCTTTCTACCCGAGTTTTTAGTTAGCACAGGTTTACTTATAGAACTCCACTTACCAATAGATGGAATTTCTTAGTGAAGTCAAGATGTAAGCTACTATACAACCAATTCTTTAATTAAATATGAAGCACTTCTAGACACTTCAGTCCTATAAAAGAACTTGGAGATCTGGGTCTTCCATGTGGAAGGCAGTGGGGGACATAAACTTACACTATCCTGAAACTACGAGCTTGCAATCTGCACTAATATGAGCTCTTACCATCTAAAAATCTTTAAAAAATGCTCACTCTTCAGCCAAGACTTTGTTGTGTGCTTATGCACTCTTAGTGTCTGAATATCATCAAGGGCACATCTTGGAAGGCCACACAGTACACAACCGATGAGCAAAGAGCTTGGATTCCTTTCGCCTGCAGCTTTATGAATGCCACAGGGTACTTGTTACGCAGGCATTAATGCTGCAAATATGTCCGCTTGTTCGGGTCAGCACAAAAAAAACAGTGCCAAAATACGCATCTAGAGGATACATCTCCACTAACAAAAGGAGCAGGAATCCTCTCTCTCCTGACTTCCTCTGGAGATGTTTTACTCAAGGTTCAGTGAAGTGCACAGTAAACTGCAACCATGAGCCGAATGCTATTTAAAGGCACTTACATGGGTCAGAACTAGAAATGTAATGGTAAACAGGACAAATGAAACAAACAGCTAGTTTCCTGGAAGCAAGTGAAAAAAACCAAACACATCAAGGGAAGACTGATGTCATTCTATTAAACAAAAATAAAAAAAATTAAATTCAAGGGATGTTTAAAGTTTGCATCTTGTTTCTCATGCATAGCTGTCATGGTTTAACCCTTGCCAGCAACTAAGCACCACACAGCTGCTTGCTCACTCACCCCCCGTGGGATGGGGGAGAGAATCAGAACAGTGAGAAAACTCATGAATTGAGATAAACACAATTTAATAGGCAAAGCAAAATCTGTGCATGCAAGCAAAGCAAAATAAGGAATTCATTGAATTCATTCACCCATCATCAGGTAGGTATTCAGCCATCTCCAGGAAGGCAGGGCTCCATCACACATAACGGTTACTTGGGAACGCCATCACTCCAAACATTCCCCCCCCCCCCTCCCCCCTTCTCCCCCCCCTTTTTGATGCTAGCCATCACCCAGCTTTGTATGCTGAGCATGACATCATATGGTATGGAATATCCCTTTGGTCAGTTGGGGTCAGCTGTCCCAGCTGTGTGCCCTCCCAACTTCTTGTGCACCCCCAGCCTACTCGCTGGTGGGGCGGTGTGAGAGGCAGAAAAGGCCTTGACTCTGTGTAAGCACTGCTCAGCAATAATGAAAACACCCCTGTATCATCAACACTGTTTCCAGCACAAATCTAAAACATAGCCCCATACTAACCACTATGTAGAAAATTAACTCTATCCCAGCCAAAACCAGCACAGTAGCAAAGCAGTTATCAGTGTGAAGTCTACCAGGGCCTGTACAATCCTACTAAACAGCTTGACTCTGAGCAGAAATTGAGTTAGGAAACAAGAAGTCACATTGCTTTGAAAGGAGAATCAGCAAAACTAATTATTAACTGCCTCCTATTCTGCTGTGATACAGAAAGTCAATAAATAAAATTTCCTCAGCCAAATCCAAGAACCTGAGGCGCGAAGTGGCTGTGATGGACGCATGCTGCTCTCTCTTTGGTCACCAAACTTCCTAAATACACAGAGATCCTGAAGATGCAGCCAGTTTGATATAGTTCCCCCAGGCTGTTGAAGAAAACTGCCTAGTCATCTCAGGTGGATTCAAAAGGAAGAATGCAACCCACACACTTCCTCCAGTCTCTCCTACCAACCAGCACGAGAGCAGTCCCAGCAGAGATCTCCTGCCACAGCTCAGCAGGGACAAAGCGCTGCTCAACCCCATCATACACTGGGTGGGAGCTAACCCAGGGCAGTTTGGGATTTACCACTGCACCTTTTAAATATTTACAAAACATATACACAGAACTCTACAACCCTTAGGAACCCAGGGAAGGGAAGGGAGCATTGAGAACACAGCACAAGGCAGGCAGCAGGAGCATCTGCTTTCGGATTCCCAAGAGAGAGGAAGAGGAGAAGAAGAGAGAGAGGTTTCATATCATTAGATTAGAATGGAAACCACAGGGCAGGAAAATGCATTCAGATTTTTTTTTTTTTCCTGAGGTGGAGGAAGAACCCAAGAGTGAGTGAGTGGCCTCCAGAAAGATCCATTTCCTTTGCTTCACCATCAGATCACCAAACTGTTGTTTTTCTATTATTGTGTGAATACCAGGTGCTTCGTGCAGCTACACCCCACTCAAACACTGGGGCCTCCCATTTTCATGCTAAGCAGGAATAATCTTGCATTCTTTTTAGAACAGTAATTATTTTGGGTAGAGGAGGATGCAAAGATACAACAAAATTACTCTTTGGATATTTTCTCATTCTGTTCAGATTCTGCTCCATCCCTCATACTCAGTTTTGCAACTGCTTTTTGCTGTAAGATGACAAAAAAGCAGTAGAAAACTGCATGGTCCAGGACTGGAAGAACATATCTTTGGATCACTTTCTTTTTTTCATATCTTTTTTAAGGGTTCAGGATAAAATTTGTCATGGAATTCTTCAGCAATAATTTTTGTTTTAACTGAAAACCAGAAGCCTTGGGCTTTAACAAGTGCACAAGAAGGTACTTTTCATAGTCATAAATCAAGTCTTTACAGAAAGCCTCCAACGTTAGTGTTGCCTACAAGGGAAATGGCAGCCGTGGGTGTTTAATACAGGGCTGTATGGATGGGAGAGAGAGCAAGTGAAGCTCATGTGTAGAGAGGAAAACACTGTTCTGGAAAGCACAGGCAGCGGGGGACAAAGGATAGAGCTCACCACTTTGCCAGGCCAGTTATTTTTGTTCTTTTGCAATCACATCCAAACAAGTAGGTATTTGATAGAGGCCAAAGGCTATTCCCAAAGCCAAACAGAAATGACTAAAATCAAGACTAATTCACAGACAGCTCTGGCCTATAAATATCAGAAGAACAGCAGAGCAGAGTAACTATTTACAAACTCAGCATAGCTGGTTGTTTTGGTAAAGCATATAGATTTTTATCCACAAATGGAAATAAAACTCTAAGCCCTATAGACATTTACTTGTTCAGATTGTCTTATTAAAAAAACAACACAAAACCAAAACCATGGTATTAAGCACAAAGGATGGGGAAAAGGCTAACACTCATTTATTTTGTATACACATCGACTGTTTTCTGGTTTCCAGCTAATACAGACACTGAAGAATTTCAGAATGCATCTTGGGCAACATGGGTGGAAATTTGCAGAGGGCTCTGAACACGAACATACCCCGAAATATATGTTGAAGCAAAGAGGCCACCTGAAGACTGTGAACCTCAAATCCAAGCAAAAGGCATAGACTCTAAACCAGAACTGCTTAGCTGAATTGCAACTTCAAAATCTCTTGTGTGCATGCACTCATGTGCACACACATGTGTGGGGGGAGGAGGGAAATTTTGTTTTAATTGAAAATGGGAATCTTAGCATTGATTAAGTCAAGCAGAGTATAGACATGCACTGTGCAAGCTTCCCCCACAGAGCTTTGGCAATGCACCTCGCTCCTGACCTGCAAAACTCCCTGCTATTCCAGTGCTGAACCTCCTGGGCAGAGAGAGAATCACATCAATTTGTCACTGTGGTGATACTGGTTACGTGATGAGAACCAATTGCCAATTAGGACAAAGATCACTGAATCTCTCTGCAGCTGACCTGAGCAACATTTGAAATCTCATCTCCAGAGAAATAAATTACCATTAACCCTCAACAGAACCTCTCTCAATATATCTGTCAGATGAAAATAGGTGTGCGAATGCAAATTCAGTGGGGAGAGGTCCACATGGGGCAGGGCAAAGGGGAATGAAGATGCTTATATTAAGCATCAAATATCTCAAACATGAAAGGTCAGTATCTCAGAAGTGCCAAGTAAGTCTGCAAAACAGAGTAAATAAAATCCTTTCACATATGAGATATGACAGTGTTTCTACAGAAGTATTTTAATGCAACAAAAATGGGGGCGGGGGGGCACAGTTAGGCTTTGTTCTTACAAGTCTCCCATCACACAAAGCTGCTTTACCTTATTCTGCCTTCCCCACAGGGCACCCATTGCTAGCGCAATGGGAACAGGTTGGGATGAAGGCTCAAGTAATGGACTCCCTCTTTGTTCAAAGGGCTGGTGAATCTGATCCCACATTAAAGACAGGAGTGTCTAGGAGCATTTGTACATGCTGGCCAAAAGTGACCATGCTCAGAGTCTGGAGTCAGAGGGAACAGGAGACAGTCCCCAAAATAGCTTTTCCCTTCCCCCATCACACTAATTCCTGCTGATCTCTACAGAGTATATTCTCTAGGCAATGAACTGCCTTTTACTCTGCAATCAAAACAAGAGAAGCAGGTACAGAAACAGGACTTACCTTGGAGCCACGCTCATTAAAGATTATCTCTACATCAAGGATTTTGCCGAATTGCTGCAGAGAGACAAGGGGGGGAAAAAAGGTTTATTTTTTAGCAATCCATTTCTCCTACCTTTTGGAGGCTGGCTTAGTGCAAGAAGGTAGGTGAGAATATTTCCATTTCTACCATACAGGCAAAGGCATAAAATCCCAGTGACATGACCGAGTTCTCTCAGGTTAGGACATGCAGATCCTCCTGGTCACAGACCCCAGGTTTTCTCACAAAAGTCTAAAGGAAGAAAAACAATCTCCAGAAGAGTTTTAGGGATTTGAGGTGGCTTTTCTTTTCCCCCCTTTTAATCTAAACAATTCTTTCTTCCCTCATTCTACTATTTCATCTAAGACATGGTTATATTATTTCATCTCATCATCTATCAACATTTCTCAAATGTAATTCAGCATTTCGTCTTCCTCCTGAAGTGGCTTTCACAAAGAGAAACTTAACAGTGATGTCCTCTGGAGGGGTTAGTCACATAAGACTCACAACCTCAGGGATTCCAAACTCTAGATCTCCTTTCCTCCCCTACCCTTTACTTCCCAAAACTCCAAGCCTTCAAAAGAATTGATTGCAAATTCAGAAACCATGAAAATGGCTGACTCCCAATAGTTTGTTTTTCAGAAAAAGATCATTCAACTTCAACCGGTAACATACAGCAGGCTGTCAATAACCTATGCAAGTTTATCATGTATGACTTCTGCCTCAGCCTGGAGATCCCAAGGAGAGCAGGGCCCCACTACTCTGCACTGTTTCAACAACTGGTTCCAAGGAGCTCTCTACATAACACAGAGCAAAAATAGGAAACAAGAGCTATAAGCTAGAAAGGAGATTTGCCACACTCTGTGGAGCCATATTTGGATCACATCCTTCACCTTGGAACTTATTAAAATACTTTTACTGAGCTGGCCAGACTCAAACCAGTAACCTGTAGGTAAAAGCATCACCACTTCAACAGAGTCCCACAACGCTCTGTCCTCTGGAAGTCTCAGTGTTGTAGTTCCAAACTGGAGGTCTGCTCTCCAGAAAGACAGGTCTAAGATCTCATTTTCAAGAGCATAGATACAGAGCAGTCTTCCTTATAGAGACACATATTGTGCTCAGACAAATGCTGTATCTGAGCATTTTTCCTACTCCATTACTTATGAAAGCTTCCATCAACACAATTTTGATGTCACTGCTTGCAGAAGATTTAGAGGTGGTAGCAAATGAAGGAAGGGTCAACAAGAAAAGAAAGGATGGTTTCACATTTAGGAAAGATGATGAACACAGCATCCGAGCACTGGGACACTCTCCACTTTGCCACAGTGCTCTTAATATAATATTTGCTTTTTTTTTTTTAAAAAGTAGCATTTCCATTCAGAGTCAAATGGGTATAATGCTCATTTTGTGGGTGCCCTGCTTGAAAGACTTGTGGTGAGATTTGCAAACATGGAAGATTTGCAGCAGTGAGCCATGATGGCTGAGGAGAAGCTCTGAGTATGTAAAGCAGTAAGAAGGTATTAAGTCCCTTGAACAAGTATTCCACAACTGTCTTTAAGCAAACAAAATGCTTCCAACAATTCTAGCAATAGTTTCTGTCTGCTTCCATTCTCCGTTCTTAAAAAGGAGAGAGTTATATTCTTTTACAAATGTTGGTTCACAGATGTTGTTTTTACTGTTCTATTGTTTCAGGACAATACTTCATCTTCTATTCATCCCAAGAACAACTGAATTCACAATATTCCACGTTACATGAAGTTTGAATAATGCTAATATAAACATGCATCTTCCTTGAAACCTCAACATCTCAACAGCTTAGGCTTGATCCATGCTGGATCCTGTTTTGACCACCGCTGTGCCAATCACAGATAAAGCACATTTTCTATTTCTATCCCATGCTTGGTGTGGGCTTGTCTATAAAGGAGATTAGCCGTTGATTGTTTTTTGTTGCCTTTGTTGCATATGGCTTGGGCACTGCCATGAGAGACATCACTCGTGATTGCTTTCTTAGTAGACTATTTCAGTGTCATTACACGACAGGGGCTGAACCAATTTAACAGCTCGCCGCTGCTGAAGGCCTGTCCCTGCTCCCCTGTCCTTCCTTGTCTGGCCTCACCAACTTCCTAAAGCTGGCCCCAGTTTTCATTCTCACCTGTACATATACTGATACAGCTCACCAATCCTGCGAAAAACTAGCCCAACAAAAGGAATAAATACAAAGTTTTTGATGATTTACTGATCTGAAGTGGCTCAAAGGGTCAGGTGAGCATTATGGCTCTGAGAAGCAAAAGGGAGTGGAAAGCTGTACACCCTGCCCGAGAGCAGGATCTGTCCCTGCCAGATCAGCTCAGCTGCCTAGCCTTGCCGCACATGCTGAAACAGTCGGGCTCTCAATAAATGCAAATGCCAAAATTATTTTCAGAATCTTCAAAGCCATCAAAAACCACCGTTTTCTACCTCATTAGAATCATCTTGAAAGAGAACAAACTGTGCAGCTTCTGGTGCACAATTATGCCATGCCATCTTCCCCTTTCTCCACACCCAACTGGGCCTGGATCCTTGGGTATTACTGCCAACACTGCCTGCCATCCCCATTTGGCTAAGCTCACCGCACAGGGTTTCCACACCAACAGGAAATCCCATCTTGTGTGTTTAACTTCTTGTGGCTAACAAAAAGTTGGCGGTAACACTGAATGCAAGGTCTAGGTTTTGCACTGAATGCAAGCTAGGTCTGACTTAGCTCCATGGGAGGTGACAGGGCTGCCTCCCTGCCCTGTAGGTGATGGAGGTACGTGGTCTCCTAGATGACAGAATTAAAATCACCAAATCCAGTCGCTGCAGCGAACACATGCTTGGCATCTACTGCAGTGGGCTAGATCCACCCATGTAAACTGCCCCAATCTCTTTTCTACCTAGGAGTGTCCAAAGAAGGGCAATAAAGCCGGTGAGGGGTCTGGAGCACAAGTCTTATGAGGAGTGGCTGAGGGAACTGGGGTTGTTTAGTCTGGAGAAGAGGAGGCTGAGGTGGGACCTTCTCGCTCTCTACAACTACCTGAAAGGGGGTTGTGGCGACAAGGGTGTTGGTCTCTTCTCCCAAGTAGCCAGCGATAGGACGAGAAGAAATGGCCTCAAGTTACGCCAGGACAGGTTTAGATTGGGTATTAGGAAAAATTTCTTCACCAAGAGGGTGGTCAGGCATTGGAACAGGCTGCCCAGGGAGGTGGTTGAGTCACCATCTCTGGAAGTGTTCAAAAAATGTGTGGATGTGGTGCTTCAAGACATGGTTTAGGGAACATGGTGGCGCTGGATTCATGGTTGGACTTGATGATCTTGAAGGTCCTTTCCAACCTTAGTGATTCTGCGAGTTGTGGGTGTTTGAAGAGGCAGAAGGGAAGGACCTGCTTGTGAGAGAAGGAACAGAGACAACAGGGGCTAACTGCTGAACTGAGGTTTGCTGGGGAGGGGTTTCCTGCTCCGTGAAATCTCCTGGAAGAAAGCAGCATGGACACAATGCGGGAGGACATGCACTGGGCTCTTCAAGACTCTGCTGTAGCTGTTGCCACAGCTGCTCTGACAGCTTCTAACACCATGGCTCTTGTCCTCACTGCTGCAACAGTTACAGCAGGTCCAGCACTGGAGGCACTTTTTTTTTTGGTAGCGTGCCAGAATTCTCCTGAAGAATGAAAGCAGGAAAAAAGAACTAGTTCATTTTAACAGTTTATCTCTCCTTCAAAGCTGAATCTAATTTTGTGGAACATAAAAAGGCACTTTGTTCTCTGATGGTGCTTGCCCTACCAAATGTCAAAAGCCTGCTGCAAACAATGGAAGTTTTAAGTGCTCCTTAGCAAAACGTCACAAATTTTCTATGGAAAATACTAGGACGTCTAAATACAAGGGTCAACACCAAATGCCCCCATAGTAACTTTTTAAAATCATGTATACAGGCATGTTTGTATTTTCCAGCAGACAGAGGGTCTGGCCAAACAAAACAAGATCCATGCTTAGGTCATCCATGAGGACTAACCCTCTAATCTCTAACCTTGAAGACATGAATTACTGTTTTGAGACCTGATTCGTTCACTCAATGATTACCAAGAACTTCTACTTACAATCCTGCACAGCAGCAGGGAAAATCCTCAGCCAAGTTCACAGCCTCTGAAGAAGGCATTGCAGGACTACACATCTCAAATGCTGCCCACCATGACTTAAAACGCTTACTATGTGACCAAGAAGTCAGCATCCCCCATCACATGTCAGGTCATGCAATAAGCCTCCTCCATTAACTGCTCATGCACATGCTATACCATGGATAAATACACACACACACTCTCTTACAGTCATGCCATGGCATAGGAGCTATAGCATCTTGTCTTAGTCTTCCATTCCCTGGAATGACACTGTACCAGCTTTTAGTTATTTTTCTGTAAAGCAGGTAAATGAGAATCGTCTCCTCTACAATGGTAGCAGGGGCTGTTGGAAATATCATCTTTATGCCTCTTACAACTGTTAGCAGACATCAGCTATGAGGAGAACCCAATTTTCATGCTTGAACATGATGTACCTTATCACAGATGCAAGGGCATTGTCCAAGGAAGGGTATATGCATGCTGTGTGTTTCTTTCGACCCAGGTGACATGAAGGCAGCAGGTTTTTCCAGCAGAGGCCATAACTATATGTACTATATATACATATACATTATGTATAATAAATTTGAGAGATCTGGCACCAGAGAGCTTTCGCCTTCCAAGGCGCTGACAGTCTGGTAGGGCCCCTCCTGTATGCTCTGTTCGAGCTGGCCCTGTCCCCTCTCCCCGTCTAGACCTTTCAAAATCAGCTCCAAAACGTGCGAGACAACCCTACAGATGCAAACAACAGGCAATACAGGGCAAATTCTCTAGAAATCATGGAACAACAAAAGGTAACAAGAGCCCCCATTCAATAACCTCGCATTCTTACAAGAGAACTCCGTATGCCCAAGCAGCTTTGCACTGGCCCTACAAAATTCAGTTAGAGAAGAGTGCAGTGAACTAGTTAAACC